ATTTATTTGGTAAAATTAGCTTAATGAATAAATGTGGAGAGGCTGGAATTAGCTAGATTAATTAATATTTAATCTAATTTGAACAACAATAACGACAGTAGCATCATTGAATACATATGATAGGCTCAAGAAATACCTATTTATGATTCACAGAGCCCCCAAAAATCTCGATAGAAATTTTGGCACTATTCATCATTTTTTGTTTGGAACGCCCAATCGAGAAATGGTCAATTCCACCATATTCGTATCCACATTATAAAGGATGAACAAGGATTTCAATATTTTTAGTTCGATGGCTCTAGTAAATGGGAAAATTGATACAATGCAAAACCTGAACATTTTAATTTGATTACATGACATATCCACACTTGTAGGTAAATTATCAGTATGATTACATGACCATTTTAGTATGTAATATCAAACTCCTCGTAGACATTGATTTTATGTTTTCTATTTACTGATTTGGATGGTTTTGTAGTGATTTAGATAGAGATCAAATAATTATAGTAAGTGTAGGAATTTAATTCCTTCCCAACTACCCACCTCTCATTAGCAATTAAATAATTATTTTTTAGGGAAAGTACTTAAGTAATTGTAAAATTTCAGAATTATTATTTATAATTATGAATAGCTAATTTCATTTCCTTAATTAAACCGACGGTTGACCGGCTAACCGACCCCCTTCCCTTTCCCCAAAAACGACGGCATTTTCCGCGCACTAACCCCAAGCAGCCGACCCTCCTCTCCCAAATCCCAAATCAATCGACCCCCCCCCTTCTCGCAATCTCGCACAACCCTTCCACTTCCCCTTCCCCTTTTCGCAATCAATCGACCTTCCCCCCTTTCTCGCAATCTCGCCGACCCCCTTCTTGCGCAACCCTTCCCCTTCCCCTTCCCCTTCCCCCTTCCCATCGCAGTCTCAGACCACCATCGTCGACATTCCACCGACCCGCCGCCTCCACCTCGTCGCCCCGCCGCCTCCACCTCGAATCCCTAAATATTCTTCTTCTCCCATCAACCATGTCAAATCCACAGACACCACCACCACTCCACCAGCAAAAGTCGCCGCCCTCCCCTGCCTCCTCCGCTCCTCCTCCTTCCACCGCCACCAAAACTTCCTCCACGACCATCGTTCCTGGTTCCGCCGGCGCGCTCGCGGTGAAGAAGCCGCCTTCGAAGCACAGGCACCGGGAAGACTCCGGCGAGCTTCTCCACCGTCTCCGTCTCCGACGACCTCCTCCTCCCCGGCGCCGCGCCTCGCCACGCCTCGCCACCCGTCGCCTCGCCGCATGTCGCCACGACACATGCAGATGTGTTTCCATGGAGAAAGAAGGTGAGAGAAGAAGAAGGAAGGAGAGAGAATAGGTCTGGTGGAGGAAGGAAGGAGAGAGTAGGAGATAAGGAAGGAGTGGTGGAGATTTTTTTGTTTTATTTAATTAATTTTAAGTTTTTTTTAAATGTATTTTTTCGGTTGGCCGGCTAACCGAGCATAAAACCGAAATCGACCGGTCGGTTGGCCGGCTAACCATGACTTCTCTTCGGTCGGTGGTCGGCATCTATGGGGGGTGGCTCGGTTTAACCGATAACCGGGTTTTTCGGTTAAACCAAAACCGACCGACTGCCACCCCTAAGTATAATAGATATTCATTTAATAAGTATATAGATTTCATAATATCCGCTATGTACATTGATTTAGAACATGTATCGTAATAGTAGAGTTATATACTCTTAGTAAGGTTTTAATAAGACATAATATGAATGAATGGAGATAAGAGCTATTATGAAATCTATATACTTATAATGTATGTCCATTATACCACCTACAGAACCACCATCTCCCAACACCCACCAATGCAATTGAAGGAGGAGAATGCATATGCAAAGCACTGGTGCCTATATAAAAGGTGTTATGGACAATCCAAGTAACACATCGGTAATATAAGGAAAGGAACTCGTATATATAGTGTTCACATAGCCCTATTAGTACGAGGCCTTTTGGGAAGGATACCCAAAAGTAAAAGCATGCTGGTTTGGCCCAGAGCGGACAATATCGTAATAATAGAGCTGCCCGATTACTACAACTGGTATCAGAGCTAGTCTGTTTGGTGGATTCAGGGCGATGGACGTAAGCTAGGTGGGACCCTCATTCGGTGACCTCAGGATTTGAGATCTGTGTATGTTTGGCGGATCAAGGGAGATCTGAGTTTGATTTGGCAGATCAAAGAGAGTTTCGCATCTAGGAAAATCCTTGTACCGAGAAGCCCGTCGATACAAGGTGTCTGGAGGATCAAGATAATCGTTTAGGAGAGGACACGAAGTTCAGGGGTCCTTGTTTTAAGGGAAGGATTATTATGAGACAATCCAAATACCACATCGGTAAATGAATCGCTATTTGTCGCCCGTAGTTTTACTATTTGTCGCCCATAGTCACAATAAATATGACGAATTTGCCCTTTCTTCTAACTAACCCTAAATCCTATCAAACCCATCCCCTCACAACCTCCCCCCTCCTCCCACAACAGCCGCCGCCGCCGCCTCCATTCCTCTGACCTTGTCCGTCGACCCCTCCATTCGTTCGACCTCACTTGCCCCATTCACAAAATCGCGGGCGTTGAAGAGGAAAGAGCTCGCCGCGGGTGCCCTGGTCGCCGATGTAGAGGAAGGAGACGGGGTCCGACCACCGGATGCGGACGGGGTCCGAATTCTGGCGGTGGACGGGGTTCGACAACAGGCGGCGTATGGGGTCCGAGATCCGGCGGCGGACGGGGTCCGAACACCGGTGGCGGACCGATTCCGAGACCCGACGGTTACAGCTTTTTTTTCAATAATCATTTTTGAATTATTATTTATTTATTTAGTAATTAAATAAGTGTAAAATACCATAACTAGGATCTAAATAATTATAAATATGATAATTAAGTAAATTAAAGAGAAATTTTTAAGGCAAGTTTTCGAAATAGGAAATTGAGTAATAAGTTTTCGGAAGGAAATTTTCGCAATTAACAATCTTTAATTGTATTTTCCTATTTAACAACCCAACCAACGTAATTTCCTCCCAATACATCTAATGATTATCATTTATTAATATATTAACATCCCAATCCAAATTAGTTAACAACTCAATCCACTTCTGGTAGTTATCAAACACGTATAGAATATAATTTATTAATATATTATTTTGACCACAGTTGGTTGAGGGAATTAGGGTTTGACCCGAATTAGGATTTGACTTAATTAGGGTTTGACTTAATTAGGGTCAAAGGTAGGTTTTGACTTTGAAAAAATAGGGTTTAATTTTGACAAATTAGGGTTTGACTTTGACCAATTAGGATTTAGTGAGATTAGGGTTTAATTTAATCACTTAAAGTAATTCTTTTTTTAATTTGTTTGGTAAAATTAGTTTAATGAATAAATGTGGAGAGGCTGGAATTAGCTAGATTAATTAATATTTAATCTAATCGGAACAACGATAACGGTAACAAAAGATGAAAACATATCTTCCCCTTCTACGCATCCTACCTCTCTCAAACCCTAAACCCTAATTCCCATAAAATAGCTAACTTCAACCTCAATCTATCCAATCCTACTACGACATTGTCTTAGAGGTAAAATCGTTTCTACTTCCACTAACAACATTTGTTTGCATCATTGAAATACATATGATAGGCTCAAGAAATACATTTTTATGATTCACAGAGCCCCCAAAAATCTCAATGGAAATTTTTGCACTATTCATCATTTTTTGTCTGGAACGCCCAATTGAGAAATGGTCAATTCCAACATATTCGTATCCACATTATAGAGGATGAACAAGGGTTTCAATAATTTTTAGTTCGATGGCTCTAGTAAATGCGAAAATTGATACAATGCAAAACGTGACCATTTTAATTTGATTACATGACATATCCACACTTTTAGGTAAATTATGAGTATGATTACATGACCATTTTAGTATATAATATCAAACTCCTCGTAGACATTGATTTTATGTTTTCTATTTACTGATTTGAATGGTTTTGTAGTGATTTAGATAGAGATCAAATAATTATAGTAAGTGTAGGGATTTAATTCCTTCCCAACTACCCACCTCTCATTAGCAATTAAATAATTGTTTTTTAGGGAAAGTACTTAAGTAATTGTAAAATTTCATAATTATTATTTATAATTATGAATTGCTAATTTCATTTCCCCTAATTCCGTTGGCAGCAATCAAAGAGGATAATAATTAGTAATAAAAAATAATTATTATTATGGGCTTAGGAGTTAGATGTGATAATCAAGGAAAGATTGTTTCCGTTTTCAAGTAATAATCATAATCATAATCGATTTTTTTTTGTTGTCAATTAATAATAACAATCTTAAATAATATATATAACATTATTTAAAAATTAATCCAATCGGTCAGCATCTCTGCCAAAAAGATGCCGACGAGGGTTGTCCGACGCCGACGGGCGGCAATCAGATCCCGTCCGACGGATAAAGAAAAAAAAAGGAAGCCTGGTCTTGACGGCGAGCTCCTTTCTCGATGGCGGCGGCGATTTCTTTGCGTTGTCGACAGCACCAACAACAACAACGACGAGCTCCTTTTTGGGATGGTGGAGTCTTGGGTTGCGGGTGGAATTGTGTGGTGACGAATGGAGGTGAGCAGGCAGAGGCGGTGGGGAGACAGACTCCGGCGTCGGGAGAAGTTGGCGTCGGGAGGGGAGGCAGAGCCGACGACAGATTGGAAGAAGGGTAAATGTGTAATTTTATTTATAACTATGGGCGGAAATAGTAATTTTTAGGGCGACAAAAAACACTCATCCATCGGTAATACATGGAAATCCAAACACTCTGTGGGAGCCAATTAGCTAAAGTAAACTTTGAGGGCTCAAATTGGGAAGGAAACGTTAGTTGATGGCCAAATTAAGCTTAATTTGAACTGTAGTGACCTTTTGGAACTTTACCCTACCTATATATTATCGCAAACTCGATGATGGAAAGGAATATATTACAATTTGCAGATCCCCAATTATCTGCCTTTAGCCCTCAATCTAGGGTTTCTCTCGATTCGAAAGTAACAAAATCCAATCCAGTGTTCTTTTTTTCTTTTCTCTCCATCCTAGTTGAAATCCTCTTTGCTGTCAAAGATGAACTCAACTCTTATCCAGTCGAGTTTTGATTCTGACGGCGACCAGAAGGGTAGCACTGAGGCTATTCCTCGTTTGAGCACCTCTGCGTATGAAACACCTGATTTCGGATCTGGAGCAAAGAGGCAGAAGGTCATAGAAGACGACAAGAAAGCCAAGGGTGGCGACGGCGATGCGCTGGTGGAAACCGAAGATGATGATTCTGACGAGATTGAGGATGGCGATGATGAAGATGATTTCATGGAGGTCAAACAGTATACTCCGAAGACGACGATCTGGGAGAGCTGTTCGGAAGATGATGAAGGCTTCCAACGCTACCTTAGTAAAGTTATTGACAGCGAGGTTAATTAGGATTCTTGTTCATCATCGATCTATTTAATTTCCACCCAATATTATGTGAAGTTCTCTTTTTGTTGCTTTGCTCGTCTTCATGTGTTGCTGTGTTATTCCATTTTCAGGGTTTTGATTTGGACGAAGACCCTCTAGATGAGTACCCTTTCACTGGTTTCACGGTGTGTAGGGTCAACTTTGACCATCCCGACCACGCCCATCATAAGGAATATGTTGCCAAGTGCATCCAAACTGCTATTCAGCAACAGCACGAACCTGTCTGTCATTGGCTCATTGTTCTGCTTTTCATGAGCTTCCATTCTAATTTTCCGCATGCTATCACAACGCTCTACTCTTCTATTTTGCAGCTGACGTACGTTAAGACCTTGACTGCAAATTATGCGGTAGAAGTTGGTTACATCTATTTCATTACATTTATGGCTAAGGAGAATTCATCATCGGAGGTCAAAACCTACCAAACCGAGGTTTCACATGACCTTTGGGGTGGGATGGTGGTAAATAAATTCCGGAAGAAAATCCAGTGATCGAGGTAGCATATTAAGACTTATTTTCTTTCCTGCATATATCTATTTATCTTTGTGGTTCCTGACTATTGTGGGTGCCACACCACCTGTGCGGTCAAGTTGAATGTCAAGCTAGCTGTTTAGGATGCGGTCTCCATTTTAAGCGGTTTGCACTGCCTTTATGTCTCACTTGGATATGTATTCATGAAGCTGACTCTTGCATCCATTGATAGGGATTGTTAAGGCTTTCTGTTTACTGCCTTTCAAGGAATTGAACATTAGTTCGGTATACATTCTGCATTTGCATTCAGAACTGGATCAATATGCATTATTATTATTATTATTATTTTTGAATAAGATCAATATGCATTCAATGGTTCTCATATGATTGCTGTCATTTTCCTGTGATCGTACCCGTCAAATGGGTTGCGATTCATATTATGATTTGTAAGTTTGAGTTACATCCAAGTACCTTCCGATTCGTTATGTGGCATTACTTTCGAATCTTGAATCGTTGTATGGGATTTGTTGGTTGTGAGTTTCCACAAGTGTATCACTATTGAGATGAAATTATAAGATAATACAAGATATAGCTTGGGCTGAATCAGAACTTATTTCTTCTCTCCAGTTGCTGAGTATTGATTTATGAACATTTCTGCATTTCCTTCTTCAGTATTCGTCTTTGTAAGAATTATCTAACATTCCTCGTCGTCCCTTGAAAACTAATCTTTATCCCTTGTTTCATTTGCGTGTTGGTATAACTATACTCTCTATGTTTGCCGTTTGTAGGTGCAGCCGCATGCTTAATTAAGGTGGACCATTGCAAGTAGAAGTGTCGATGGGTAGATGTTATGTAATCATATGGAGTATTTTCTGACCCACTTGTAATTCGTGCTCGTTAATTATGTGACGATGTGTTTCCGTTGTGCAACTAGAAGTCTAGAACAGAATACTAGTATTTCAGGGAGAGATTATCCAGTAATTCTCTCAGCTTTCAGTCCTAGTATGCTAGGGTAATGTATTGACCAAGTAACCAACTCCTGGATTGCGTGTTTTATGATACTGTCGGATCCTACTCATATGGTCTTGATCATGCTATGCATTCATCTTGCTTGGTTCAGCTATTTTAATTTGAACATAGGATTTTGATCGTTAAGATAATCTTTATATTTAAAGGTACGAATATCATTATATTGTGCATTTGTGCACATACAGTTATATCATTCATGTCAATAAGGGGTCGTTTGGAAGTTGAGAGTCTACGTTTACGAATAATACAATATGTGTATTATATATTCTAAGTATAGTGATTGTAAGAATATGTTGTTTGGTTGTTGTGATTCTCACTTTTCAAGAACATAAGGATTCTCACTTTAATGACCTAAAAGACTTATATATCTTTGAAGTTCTCTTTATGTAATCATTAAATGAGAGACAAATATGAAATATATAAAAAGACTTATATAACTTTGAAGTTCTCTTTATGTAATCATTAAATGAGGCAAATATGAAATATATAAAAAAGAATAAGGATAAGAATGTAAAAAAACAATTACAAAAGTAAAGCAAAAGAATCTCACCTTTTTGTAGAGATTCTAAATGAATGATTCTAACCATTTGAGATTCTAAAGTTTCATTTAAATGCATGCATTCTGGACAAATTTACGTCAAAAGAACAATGGATTGTAAAGAATACACTCATTCACAAAATCACTCATTTAGACTCCTTACTTCCAAACGATCCCTAATATAATTATCAAAACAACACCGTCTCCAAACATTTGATAAAATCACGTTCTCTCTAATATTACCACGAAACTGATCTAATATTACCACGATGTCTGGAACAACCGACCTTGGACACTCTCTAATACTCTGGTGGCTGTGCAGAAATGGGATGGAGAAGGGCTCCCTGAAGAGGTCGACTTCCCAACTGTCTCGCTATGGATCCAAATCCATGACTTACCACCACAACTGAAGGAAGAGGCGGATGTGGAAGCCATTGCAATTTTTATCTTCCCAAAATTCAATTGGGTCGACAAATCCAGCCTAGAACACATAGGCTGGAGGAGATTCATCAGAGTCTTCGTGGAAGTTGATTTGGGGCAGCCAATCCCCATTGGTTTCGAGTTCCTACTGGGGGATAAATCAGTTTGGGTGAGCTTCAAATATGAACGAATCACTGACTTATGCTATTTCTGTGGTATGCTCGGTCACCTCATCCATAACTACGCTTCAAGAGAGGAGAACCGCCAGAAAGGCTTAAGCACGAAGGCCTCTTATGTGTACACAGCCGCACTGAAAGCCGGATACGAGTCTCCGGCGAACACCCCACCGGCAACCTTCCGCCAGAGACAGATCGGATCTAGCTCGGCAACAGGGCAAGCTGAGGAGAGAGAGCAGCACCAAATCCAAGAAGCGTTTGGGGAACTGACCCCAACGGCTCTCTGTCTAACGGGAGGACAACCAGCCAGATCATGCCCACCAGGTTTTGAGGAGAGATTCTTTGGCTCTCCCAGATCTCTCACTGACACAGATCTTTTCCCCAACGACCCTTTTAGGCAGAGGTCTCAGTCATGTGCTCCCAGGAGGCTTGAGGAAGACATGGATGAGGTGGCGGCAGGGATACAAAAGTCCATTTACCTAAGTGGTGGAGCTGTCTTTGGTGGGAGAGGGAGAATTTCCTGGAAATGGGGAGTGGGCTCTCTTTGGCCTCACTAATCCCAAACCCTAGTCCAGTGGGCCTGCCACATGGGCTGGAAAATGAGTTTCAGGGAATTCCTCTTACCCTGGTCCAAGAAGCCCAGAGGAACTATGAAAGGATCATGGGCCGCGGAGAAAAGAAAAGAAAGCCTGATAGCTTTATTATGGAAGCTATTTCAAGCCTAGAGCTGCCCCTCTCTAGCTCTCATTCGTCCAATTCCCTCATTTTCAACCATGGCCCAACCTGGAATGAGAAACAGAGGAAGAAGATTGTCCCAAGGAAGAAAACACAGACACTTGCAACAGAGGAGAACAATGAAACAGGAGATGGGAATTCCATCCATTCATAGGCAGCGGTGGCAAGCCTCAAGCCACCTCAGACTGAATGATTCTGATGAGTTGGAACTGTAGAGGGTTTGGCCAGCCCACTACACGCAGTTACTGTAACATATTTTGCCGTCAATTTGACTCGTCGATTCTTTTCCTAATGGAAACCAAGAAGGATCGGAGCTTCATGGAATCAGAAAGGAGAGTGACGTCTTTCAAGCACTCGGATTATGTTGACCCCTCTGATGGATGTACTGGTCTTGCTCTTTGGTGGAAGCAAGATGTTAATGTTGTTGTTCTTGACTCCAGTAACTTCTACATGGATGTTAAGATTAGTTATGGTAATTCTGATTTTTTTTGTACTTTTACCCATGCCCCTGCCACTGTGTTAGGAAGAAGGGCATTTTGGGATTATTTGAGCACCATTAGGGAGAGCTTAGATGATAGTTGTCTTGTATTAGGAGATCTCAATGTAGCTCTTCTCGAGCATGAAAAGGAAGGGCGGTGCCCCCTCCGTAATGAAAATGTAGGGCCGTTCAAGTACTTCTTGCAGCGGAATGCTCTGATTGACTTGGGGCACAAGGGTCAGCCGTTTACTTGGAGAGAACCTTATCAGAGAAAGGCTTATCAGACAACAAGGAGAGAACCTTATCAGAGAAAGGCTTGACCGAGCCATCTGCTCAAACTCTTGGCGGACTGAGTTTGACAAACGGTAGTCTTCCATGAGGATATGATGGACTCAGACCACTGTCCAATTCGAGTTGATGTTCATTACAAGGAAACTAGAAGGAAGACCCCATTCAGATTTGACAAACGATGGAGAGATGATGCTGAATGTCAGGAGATTGTCAACCAAATATGGGCAGCCCCAGGCTGTTCGGAAGATAAAATGAACCTCGGTCAAGGCAAGATGAGAAAGTGGGCAGCGGAGAAACACAGGAACAGAATCAAAAGGGAAGAGGAAATTCAAGCAAGGCTAACAGTGCTACAAGGCCCCCACCGAGGACAAGATGAAGTTGATGAAGAAAAAACTATTCTTAGTGAATTGACAAAGTATTGGAGGGAAGAAGAGCTTTTCTGGGTCCAGAGGTCCAGAATTCAATGGATGCAGGAGGGGGACCAGAATAATGATTTTTTTCCATTCAAGTACTATACAAAGAAGAAACTCGAATAGGATCCTTAGACTCAAGAACTCGGATAGAGTTTGGATGGATGATGAAGACCAGCTCAGAGATCATGCGACTGACTTTTATAAGGAGCTCTTCCAGGAAAGAAATCGGTTGCCTGTTGACAGTTTCCTTGACGACTTTCCAGCTTTGGTTACTCCAAAAATGAACTTAGCCCTTTGTGAACCGCTTCACAGTGAGGAAATTCGAAAAGCAGTTTTTAATCTTGGCCATTCAAAGGCTCCAGGGCCAGATGGTTTCCCCGGTATTTTCTTTCGCAAGTTTTGGGGAACTGTAGGGAAGGATTTTTTGATTGAGTTCAAGAACTTCTTCACAAGTGGGAAGCTTCCAGAGGGTTGGAATGAAACACACATCACCCTGGTTCCAAAAGTTGAGGCCCCGGAACTTATTAGCCAGTTCCGTCCCATTAGCTGCTGTAACTTCCGTTACATGGTAGTTACGAAGATCATGACGACAAGACTTCAGAAATGGATTCCTGAATTGGTTTCTGAGTTGCAAACAGCCTTTACTGGAGGTAGGCAGATTCAAGACAACATTATTATTGTGCATGAGGTGCTGAATCATTTCAAGAAGCATAAGACTGGGAACAGAAGAGACATGATGCTCAAACTTGACATGAAGAAAGCCTACGATCTAGTCGATTGGGACTGCCTGATCTGACTTCTCCAAGCCTATGGTTTTGACGCAAGATGGTGTGCTTGGGTGAAGTAATGCATTATTACAGTTCATTTCTCAATCTTGTTCAATGGGGAGGAAACTTCGACATTCACCCCCATCGAGAGGCATTCGTAAGGGAGACCCTCTTTCACCCTTGCTCTTTATTCTAATGTCTAACGCGCTCTCTTTCCTTATTGAAAAAGTTGTGGCCAACAACCATATCAAGGGACTCAAGCTTAATCATAATTGTCCTCTTCTTACCCACTGTCTTTTTGCAGATGACACTGTCATCTTTGGAAAAGCAACAACAGAGGAGGCAACAAGGATCCTTGGTATCCTCTCAGATTATAGTGCTATCACTGGATAGGAAGTGAACGGAACAAAGTCGTCTATCTTCTTCAGTCACAATGTCCCTCAAGAGGTTAAGGATGACATCATCAACACCATTGGCTTCGCTCCCACTAATTGTCACTCCACCTACCTGGGTGTTCCTACGGAATGGGGAAGATCAAAGAAGGAGACTTTCCAATTCCTTATCCAAAGGATGGAAAAGAAAGGTGAGGGTTGGAAGAGCCTTTTGCTCTCCCCGGGGGGAAAGGAGATCCTCATCAAAGTCGTGTTCCAAGCGATCCCCACGTACATTATGTGCCTTTTCCTTCTACCGGGCTCAACAACAAACATGATGGACACAATGCTTAGGAGATTTTTCTGGTCATGATCCTTGAATAAGAAGTCAATCCATTGGATCAAAGGCAAGTTACTATGCCTACCGAAGGAGGAAGGTGGCATTGGCTTTCGTTCTTTCAAGGAGTTCAACCTTGCCCTCTTGGCTAAGCAGACCTGGCGTCTTCTGACCTCTCCTTCATCTCTTTGGGCAAGACTGCTTAAGGGATTGTATTTCCCTCGATCGGGTTTTCTCGAGGCAAGGAAGGGATCGCGGTCTTCATGGATTTGGTCGAGCCTTTGGGAAGCACGCAACCTGATGAGCAAGGGAACGATTTGGGTCATTGACAATGGGAAAAGTACTAGGGTTTTCCATGATCCTTGGATCCCAAGCATTCCAGGTGGAAGACTGCTTAGCACCCAGCAAGATGGTACTTTGGCGACAGAATGGATGGACAACCCGACTCGATCTTGGAACATGCAACATGTTTCAGCTTTGGTTGACGCTCAGTAGGCGGAGATGATTCAAAGCATCCCCATTGGCCCAGCTGAGGCTGAGGATTTCTGGGCATGAAAGCC